AAGTTGCGCCTTAGGATGTTCACCAAGATGCCATCAAAAGAGTTATGAAAATTTCAAGGATTGCTGAGTTTTTTGGGAAAAAACGGATTTTTTTGAAAATCAATGTTATTTTTTCTTGTCGTTATTTTTAAGAAAATCGAAAAACTAATTGCACATTCTCATTGCCACTTTATTAGGGCTAACTGATAGCATTTTTAGATTTTTAAATTATCTGATAATTTGAGGGATACAGAGGCCAACTTGATTTTTTTAAATACGGACCTGCATTTTTTATTTCAGGTTTTGAAAGTAGTCGGTCTCCTGAGTAAAATGATATGCCACACTTAATTTTTTTTTTGTTTCGGACATTTGAACACGATTTAATTAAACTAATTTTATGTGCGGCTCTGGTTTTTTAATTATTTAATCTATTCATCGTTACAATATTGATATGCTTTAAAACTTAACAATGACGTGGGGTTAAACACTGAATACGGAAAATCAAATGCAATAAAATAATATAAAATTATTGGGCATTACTTGACGTCATTTTTAAAAGTGAAATCAATACATTTCAACATTTACAATAAAGAGCGCAGAATGCATTCGGAAGTATAAGAAGAAGATATGTTTAAAGAGCTATAAATAAGATTGAACGAAAAATACATTTGTGCATTAGGGAGGGTGATAATCCTTTCGAACATGTAGAGCATTGGAAACTAGTTTGTAGAAGTTGATTTATTTATAATAACTATGATTAATATTATGCATATTATTAGATCGTACACGGAGATTTCAAATTCACAATAAAAAAAAGTTAAAAATAATATTTTCAAATTGCTGATCTGGATATGATTTATTTGAATCTCTCAATTGGCTTGATTTTCCTTACTCAATGTTAATTAGCACTGATCCATATTGTTAAGATGAATATAATCAGATTAAGTAATTTAAAAAAACAAAGTCGGACTTGTAGAATGTAGAATGTTTAGGAGGGGAGTTAATCACCGCGACCTTATAGATCTATTGTGTGTTCCCCTTTCTTGAGTTATAACGAGTTATAACTCATTATACAGTCTCAGGGCTTTAAGAAAAGCCAGTATCTGAGACGGCTCCACAGAGGCCAGCTCTCCATCCTCGACATCAGACGTACCAAGGTTCATGGCATGAATGGTCATCGTCTCGGCGCACTCAGTGATAAGGTGTTCTGGTGTTTCCCCATTTTCCCCACAAAATCTGCATTCGCCGTTGTTTCTCAGTTTCAGCCTACTGAGGTGTTCGTTGAGGAGACAGTGTCCTGTTAGAAACCCCGTGACAATCAGAAGATTGTTTTTACTTAAATCAAGGAAAACCTTTGATTTTTCTCGGTCATAAGTTCTAAGGAACTTTTTCGAGTGTCTTAGATCGGTGGAGGACACCCATTCCAAGTTACGGATGGAGTCTTCCAGATTCTTCAGTTCCGCTTTCAGTTGGTTCCCGTTTGGAAAACAGAACGGTTCTGGTCCAGTTAGTGGAGTGTTCGCTCCTTTTCTAGCTAGATCATTTGCTTTTTCATTGCCTTCTATCCCTTGGTGAGCAGGCACCCAGAGTAGGAGGACTTTATTTTCTTTGCCTAATTTCTTGAGCTTCTCTAGGCATTCTTTGACCAACTTCGAATTGATGGTTACTGAGTTGATCGCGTTAAGTGCTGCTTGACTATCGGATAGGATGGCAATTTCCTGTTTTCGATAGTTCCTATCTAAGATAAATTGTACGCATCTTTCGATAGCGCAAATTTCTGCCTGAAGGATACTGGGGTAGGTGCCAATTGGTTCGGAGTATTCAGTTTTCGGCCCAAATACTCCTATCCCTGTCCCTGCTTTGGTTTTGGAAGCATCAGTATACCACGTGATGGTATGGTCTTTAAAAGTCGGACTTGAAATTGTTTTAAATAATAATTAAATAGTTTTGTTATTGTTAAGGTACCTAAAACAAAGTATTAAGTGTGGCATATCATTGTACACAGGAGACCGAGTTCTGTCAAAACTTGGAATAAAAAATGCAGGTTCGTATTTAAAGTTCGTAAGTTGGTCTCTGTATCTCACAAATTATCAGCTAATTTGAAAATATAAAAATACTAACAGATAGCCCTAATAAAGTAGCCACGAGAATGTGCAATTAGTTTTTTGATTTTCTAAAATGTAACGCCAGGGAAAAATAAAATTGATTTTCAAAAAATTCCGTTTTTTCCAAAAAACTCAGCAATCCTTTTTACAGAAATTTTTAAAACAATTTTGATGGCATCTTGGTGAATATCCTAAAGCGCAACTTTGCCCCAATTTAACCATCTTCGTATCTCTTACGGTTTCCGAGATACCAATGCTCGTACCTCGAATTTGTAGCACCCTGTATATACTATAAGTATGAAAAATGGTGCACCGAAAAAAAAGTACACAAAATAAATGTTTTACAAGATATTTTTTTCTCTTTGGTAGTCATCTAAACAAGGAGTGCGGTAATGAAAATGCGTAAGTTAAGAAGCTCTTAACTCATTCAAAATGCGTGAGTAAAGCGCTTCTTAACTCATTGACGTAGATAAAAGAATTTATGTATGTTTTCATTGTCACTATTTTCATAGTCCTTGCTTTTATGCATGATTCTTCTTTTTAATGGAGTTTAATATTGAAAAGTACTTTATTAATGAACTGTTTAACTCATAACTTTAAGAACCAATGGCCGCATAATAAGTTTAAATGGTCCTAAAAAGTAACTCTATTTAGTTAATGAAATTTCTTTACCTTTACGATCTACCTCCATTGCTTCTGGATATAAACACAAAATAATAACACAAATTTTATAAATTAAATGAGAATTTCACTCAAACTTCAAATTTTTTCTTTATTTCTGCCACATAAATTACAATGATTGAAAAACAAAACCAGAAAAACAGTTGTTAGTTTGGTGGCAATTATGATAGATATTTTTCAGGAACCGTTCCGTAACAATAAAACTTTCAGGAAACCGATATAGGCCAGTAAGCCAGGGTTAAAGGGCCCGAATTCTGAACACCTGCACCGATTAACCTGAAATTTTAACAGTGAATTTCTAACCAAAAAATGTTCTGTAACATTTTTTCAGAAAATTAATATTTTCCTAGTTACTTAGGACTAAAAATGTTGCATAAAACTGCATATTTTTTGTCAATTTTTATAAATAACTCGAAAACCTTGCATTTTATCGCAAAACTGAAGAAAAAATGAAGCTTTTGGAGTATCTAAACGATCCATTTTTTGTTGATTACCGATAGCTAAACCGATGTTGATTACCGGTATAGCTAAACGATCCATTATTTGTTGATAGGTGTAATAATAGCCGAGTTATCATTCTGTAAACGTGATTTTTTATTTTTCGAGAACTAAATTGCAACATTTTATAGTAAAATAATGGCGAAGGAACACATTTTCCTAAGAAAATGAATATGACCGTTTTAAAAGTACTTGGAAAGACCTTTTAAATGCTTTCTTAATAAAGTTCGTAGCTCAAAACTCGCGGAGTTATGATAAAAATAATATGGTCGCCTCATTATTTCGGAAAAAAAATTAATAACAAAATCTATGACTAAAAGTGTAATACATGTACAGTTGCCTATATTTAGGTACTAACAATTGACTCTGCAAATTTGAACGGTTTAGAATGCCTAAATTTGAAAAAAGTTGAAAATAATGAAAAAAAAAATTTTTGTTTTTTAAAAAAATTTAATTTTTTTGACATATCTCAAAAATTAAGCAAGATACGTAAAAAATGCAACAGAGAAAAATTGAAGGTCTTTTTTGCAATATTTTTTCTCCCTTTCAATTTATCTGTAGATCTCTTTATTTCGTAGATATTACGTTTTTTTAATTTGATTTCCATGTAAGGACCCCACCTTCTTTGAGCACTTAACACCCAAATATCTCGTGAAAATGAAGAGTTCAAGACTGTTCAAATATAGAGGTTAATTATTTGTAGCTCGTATAATTTCGTTCATTTTTTTTCCGAAAAGATGAGGTGATCATTTTATTTTTATCATAACTCCCCGAGTTTTTGAGATACGAACTTGAAAAGACCTTTTAAAAAATACACATTTAAAAGGTCTTTTCAAGCACTTTAAAAACGGCCATATTCATTTCCTTCGAAAAATGTGTTCTTTTGCCATTATTTTACGGTAAAAGGTTGCAATTTAGTTTTCGAAAAATAAAGAATCAAGTTTACAGAGTGATAACTCGGCTATTACTACACCTACGGTAAACAGCAAAAAATGAATCGATTCGTTATTTCAAAAGCTTCATTTTTTCTTTATATGAGTTTTGCGATAAAAAGCAAGATTTTCTAGTTATTTATAAAAATTACAGAAAAATATGCAGTTTTTAGATAAAAAATCAACATTTTCAATCCTAAATAACCCGGAAAATATTAATTTTCTAAAAAAATGTTATAGAACATTTTTTGCTTAGAATTCATCCCTTTATTGATTCCTGTAATTAAAATGGGTGATTTATTTTTCACCCCCGAGAAGGGGTGGCACTCACGCATCGCTACTATGTAACTTTTGTTTCTTACATATATCTCTATTCACTGTTAAAATTTCACGTCAATCGGCGGGGGTGTCAAGAATTCGGAGGTAATAACCTATTTTTATCCTCGCTTACTGGCCTAATATAAATTGCAAAATAAAAACACTAAATCACCACAATACACCAAAACACTTTTACTTTTACACTGGACGCGAGTTTCGCTAACCATGTTAGCATCATCAGCAGATGATTATAAACTGTCTTAAAAAGTTTATAATCATCTGCTGATGATGCTAACATGGTTAGCGAAACGCACGTCCAGTGTAAAAGTAAAAGTGTTTTGGTGTATTGTGGTGATTTAGTGTTTTTATTTTGCTGTGTAACACCAAAGGTTCCAACCCTCAACTGTAATCTAATATAAATGGAATAAAAAACCATAACCAAGGTGAGAAAAGGAATACAGAGCCTTAGTTGTCATTTTGATTTTACCTGAATTAATTCAGAACGGTCAGTTAACTCCGGCTCGTCCGTATGCAACGTTGTCGTATCAGCGTAACGCTCCAAAGCTTGAGTATGAATTTGCCTGAGTAAATCAGGATAATGTCTGACCACGCTCAAAAACTGACGCCTATTTAACCGAAACACCTGACAGGGTGTCACGACTACAACCGTAGCCACTCTGGCCACGTTCACCACCAAAGATATCTCTCCAAAATGGGCACCGTCTCGTAAGTAACAGACTTCCTTTCCTTGTGGAGTTTTCACTACTACAGTACCGGCTAGAATGAAGAACATGCTTCGACCTGAAAAGAGTTTTGTATTTAATGTAGTGGTGAGGGAGATGCACACAAAGCAAGACCAAGACCAACACTAGCGATAGAACTCCAAGCCTTAGACCATGACCCAGCATGCAAGACTCTTGTAGTGTTGCAGTTTTAGATCACGTTTTTTATAGCAATTATAAAGTATATAATTATATATGATGCACCCTCGGTATTTTTTACTTTATTCGATAGAAAATGACACTTTGAATCGAATGGCATATCATGTCAACTTTGGCCATATTCGCTCAGAAACAAATTGTATTTTAAATTTCAATCTAGAGTGCCATGGCTGTGTTAAAAAAGTTAATTTTTAATCAAGTACCCTTGGAAAATAGATTTGATCATCTAATGTTTTAGTGCCTTGTCCTGGTCGCTTCAAAGATGCCCAAATGGTATTTTTTGGTAATGGTATTTTTTCATTAGCATATTTGGAAAAGGCATATTTTTGCGAATAACTTGACACTACACACTTGGTATTACGAGGCAAATTGTCGTCGTTATGAACCGCATGTTATAATTTCAAATAAACCATATGCGAAAATGTCAAAAGTTGACATATGGTATGCCATTCTAGACAGAGTGTCAGTTTCTATCGAATAAAGTAAAACAAAATAGCGAAAGTGCCTTTCAAAAATGAAAAGGTGTAGCCATTTTCGTTAAAACCGGATGTGATCGAAAACAATTGAATATGTCAGTGAATCCAAATTTATGTCATATACTAATATACCAAATATCCTTGTTTTATCTGAAAAAAATACCACTTTTGAGACGCACCCGGTATAGTGTTTTTAATGCAATTGGTACATTAAAAGTTTATTATACAGTTTTATCTTTACCTAACATCCCGGCTTTAATAATGACATCTCCAGGCATGTATATTTCACATGACAGACCGGCTCTCAACTTTTCCAAAATACTTTCAGGTAGACGGTTGAACAAGATTACTCTCTGTGTACTTTCTCTAGAAATTCTGACTAAAACCTCCCGACGTAGAGCATCTGAGGTTATTCTTACTATAGTAGACTCCTACAAAAGTTAAATAGATATAATAATTGAAAAAGACAGCTAAAATGTCATTTAGATTTGTTAGGTACTTCTAATGATCACCTTAGAGAATCATAATGAGTGTAGGTAATTTATGTTTTATCCAAAGTTTTCACAAAAGATGAAAAATGAAACAATTTGTCCTCTGACCAACTTTCAATAAAAGAAACGATCCCGATCCGATGATTTATCCAGAGTGAAGGCTTAGTGAAAAGTGTAAAGAGCCCCGTTTTTGTTTTTTAGTTCACTTCACAAATACCAGTCGAATCTCTGTCACAGGTCACAGTTTCTTGTGTTAACTATTGAGAGTTTCAAATTTTGATTAGATTTTTAAATTTATTACAAATAATAAGCTTATTGTAATTATTCGTCATTATCATCTTTGTTTGCTTCTCAAATGAGACATTCCAGATAGACCTGGTATCACAATGATATTAACTTCGAAAAATGGACCTTCACGCACGCTTTAGGGACATATTAATATTCAAGACATTGGTCTTTGTCCCTAAAGTTGTCATTGGACCTTTTTACAAACACGAAATAGAGAGTAATGAGGGCCACAATTAATTGTAGCCGTCCGCGAGATGTAAAACAGCGAACTTGATGAAAATATGTGAACTCGGATGATTACACAGTGTTGATCCTGCTTTAGACCCATTTTCACATCACAAAATATTACTCAAAATCTGACTAATTAAGATAGGGGAAGTTAGCAACTCATTGAAACCAGGAATTATAAAATTCGATCGTGCTTGGGCTGCTACAATCCTGCTTCAAATCCCAATCCAGCCAAACCTACTAATTTTGAGCTAGAGTTACTTTTATTTTGGTTACTAACTTCCCAGTTGGCAACACATGAGAAGCAGGATCGCCAAAACTGGTTCCTGCTTGCGCTGTTATACCCCTGTTGCATCCTGCTCTAAATTTCATCCCAGCAACACAGTTTATGTCTGATTGGTAACGTCACAGATAGCAACACAATAAGAGCAGGATGGCTGAAACAAGTTCCTGCCTTTGCTGCTATAATCCTGCCTCATCCTGCTTCAAACCCTATACCAGCCACTCTTGCCGTTTTTGAAATACAAAAAATTTCGTTTTGATTACTGGAAATCGGGAATTGGGAAGTTGGAGTTTTCCAATCATGTAACCTGTAAAAGATCAAATATAAAATGCTTCTAATGAATCCTTTCACAACTAGACTGCCAGTAAATTACGTAAGAATACCCGTGGGCTCATTGGGGATGTGAACTGGAAAAAAACATTAAACAAATATCTATGAAAAATGAAATTTTTATTAAACAAAAAACTAAAAAAACTATAAATCACGAAAGATGACCATCACGTGACAATTTTACTGTTTATCAAAAACAATCGATGCCGCCAATTGAAATGTGTTAGACAGAGACAAAAACAAACAATCCAAAATCCGCGGGAAATACATACATACATACATACATTGCAAAAAATAAAAGCTTTTAAAAACATTTCTAAAAACAAGCTTTTATTTAAATGCTCTAAAAAGAAGAAAACAATTTTCTGTGACACTTTTATTAATTCTCATTACATCTCATTACACAATTTATATGATATAAAAGCTTGTTGCTGACTTCTCCGCTAGGGCACGGAACGAAACGTAAAAAACAAAAGTTTAACGATAAATTATTGACCGTCAAAAATACTTACATTTCTTAAAAAAAAACACAAAATAACACAAATAACACTTGTGAGAACTATTAATTCAAATTCATAGTGGAAAACTGGAACATTTGTATGGTTCGCGGGTACGTTAAGGCGCTTCCGGATGTCACACTAAAAACTCTAAAGTTACTTCTGAGAACAGTGAACCTCCCTTATTTTGTTCAACTGTTCAGAATAATTATTTGTGGCTTGGAAGCTTATACATATTTTAGGCAAATAAATCAAAAAAATAGCAGCCTAAGCTGAAATTTATCAAGTTCGGGAAAATCATTCCTAATCTTAAGGTGCGACTGATTACCAGGAATCGACTCGTTCTATTTTAAAAACGACAAAAGTGGCTGGTATGGGGTTTAAAGCAGGATAAGGCAGAATTATAGCAGCCAAAGCAGGAACTTGTTTCAGCCATCCTGCTTTCATTGTGTTGCTATGTGTGATGTCACCAATCAGACTTAAACTTGGTGTATCTTAAAAACAGCAAGTGTTGCTGGGATGAAATTTAGAGCAGGATGCAACAGGGATATGGCAGCGCAAGCAGGAACCAGTTTTGGTGATCCTGCTTCTCATGTGTTGCCAACTGGGAAGTTAGCAACAAAAATAAAAGTAACAATAGCTAAAAATTTGGGTGTGGCTGGGTTGGGATTTGAAGCAGGATTGTAGTAGCTCAAGCAGGATTGTATTTTATAATTCTTGCTTTCAATAAGTTGCTAACTTTCCCGATCTGACAAATTAACCTATTCTGAGCGTTAAAACTATGTTTTGGTGTATGGTGATTGCTTTGTGTCAATTTCTATTTATCTGCTTACCTTATAAAATTTCCGTTGATATTTAAAATTCAGATAGAGAAATATCTGTTTTCTTTTCCCAACAGGTAAAGCTTTGTACTTGATGAAAGCATCAACAGCATCATATACAGTGTTTTGCATATTCTCACAGCTGTAAAACTTATACCAGATTTCCATAGTCTATAAAAAGCACAACACTAAAACACCTGCTTACAAATAATTTTAAGCAACCATATAAGATCTAATAAATAAACAAATAAAGGTTTTTTGTCATTTGATGTCGTGCCAAATCGTCATCTGTAACTAAGTATATTACTTGCACACTTAATGCATTTTTACTGTTATCATACGATTACAATTTTTCAGAGTACTTACATAAACCAATACCAGTAGATGTATAACAAATCCGCACAAAACTAGAAGAATTGATATTAACTTATCAGACAATAATTCGGAACTGTGAAATCCATGACTAACCATCATCACAACTTGTACAACCGAGGCAGCGAATTCCCCAGCAGTTTTGTTTTTGTAAACAGAAAACTCTCTCTATTAAAAAATGATATAAAAACTTATTTTATAATAATATAATAGACTGTTATAAGTGGTGAATTACTAAAAATTATATAGTATACTGAACGACAAAAAGGAGAACACCTAATTTAAATAATTCTTGGTGTATATGATGGCTCCTTCTGACCTAGCAATTGATTATGGTGCAAGTACACACTCGCCGGGACGACCCGAGGCCAAGACGAGGCGAGTGTGTACTTGGGGCTCTCGCCTGCTCTTGGGCCCTCTCGCCTCGCACTCTGTTGTACCAAGTACACACTCGCCGAGGGGATCCGAGACGAGACAAGGCGAGTGTGTACATGGGGCTCTCGTCTTGCCTCGGTTCCTCTCGCCTCGTCTTGAGAGCGCTCGGGCTAGAGGCGGTCTCCAGCACGCAACCAGCACGAGTCAAAGGAGACGAGAGCTATAGAGAAACTAAATAAAAGAGAGACATCATGAATTTTATATTTCTCTATGGCGAAAGCGTTAAGTAGTAGGTCCCGCGAAAATATACACGTTGCTCTCGGGAGATCGGCATTCCTTAGTTCGTCTTCTCAACTGCCATTGAGTTGACGCATATTTTCGGTATTTAAATTAATAAAATATAAATATATAATTAATACAGTGGATAAACGATTTTAGTCAAAGTACCGAAAAATTTTTTAAGAGAACTGTAGAAGAAAAAAAATCTTTAATGGTCACTTTCCGGGCCGTTTAAGAAAGAAAAATACGTCTATTAAAAGCTATGCCCGAGGTTTTCATTCAGTTTGGTGGAAAGTCTTCAAATTCAAATATATGACTGCCAACCTAATATAAACATTTATTAGTTTCTATAAGTATCTACGTTTATTTTAATAAATTAGAAGCGATCAAACAAAACGAATCCATTTTGAGATATTAGCAAAAAACGTGTCGTTATTGGTATAAAAGTGTCGTTATTGCGTCTTTTAAACAAAGAAAATTATAATGTAGGTACATGAAAGATATTATGATACAGACTTTCTAGACACTGTTTTCGCTTTTTTGTCATCATTAACATAAGAATTATTACTCTAATTACAAAATTATTGATTAATCTCTTTTATCCTCAGTTAAAAATAAAGATTTATTTTTTATAATGTAAAATAGTTTGTTTTAATATTACTAGGTAAAATAGCAAATATTTTACGTTTCTATGCAGCATTATGTTTTTTTTTAAATTTTAAAACACCTCACCTCGGCGACATAAAGTCGAAAATACAGTTTGTTTCGATCCTTGGCAGTAACGTCATCATTTTCGACGTTATATTGGTTTTCATGATTTTTTCATGACAAACACGGACAATAGAATGATAATCTGTGACATAACAGCCAAGGATCAAAAAAACAAAGCGTAGATGAATATGCTTCTATAAAATACCAAAAATACAATGAAAACAAAAATAAATAACATAATATAAACAAAAATCACAGGCGGATTTATCTTTTTCTGTTTGAAACTAATATATGCAATTTGATTTTGTGGATTTCACTGTTTTTTTTTTATTTTCTCGATTTTCGGGTCGGTTTTAAATTGGATTTAAGAAAATGTTTTGCCCAAATTTTCCCAAAAGTGTTATTAAATTAATCTCGTTGAGCGCCTGATTGTTTTTATTTTTACAAAATTATTCTTCAGAATATATTTATTTATGTACTGCAAAATTTAATTGGTGTGTTTTTGCGCAATGTCTCGGGGCGCCTCGCTGGACCTCGCATTTTTTGTGGCGCCTCGGGTCTCCTCGGCGAGTGTGTACTTCCAGCATTAGATTTTTAGTTCTATTAGATTTAATGGACAATCTGGGTCACTTTTAGCGTGTTGCTGACCTCCGATTTCTGACACTCATTGAGATGCATGGGCATAGTTCTGATAAGGCGGTCGATGTTCCCTTGATGTAATTTCTAGGCTACTTCAGATTTTCATTCTAGGCTGCTTCAGATGTATGCATAAGGGCCTATTATAGCAGTCCCGTAATTTTATATAATTTTCACTTTATACGCAGAGGGGCTGCTAAAGGCCCTTATGCATGAAGTTGAAGCAGCCTAAAATGGGATACTCCAAGAGGATATCGACTAACTTGTATTCTAAATTCGACAATCCACCCATCATATTTCAGACATGTTCAACGGGAGACAGATCGGGTGATCATTGCAGCCATAGGAAGCGGTTAATGTGATGCTGATTCATAAAGACTATTGATCCTTGAGCAATGAGTGGTCTGGCATTGTCTTGTTGGAAGATGGAGTGAAGGTATGGAATCGCATGTGGCTGCGCCACTGCATGGATGTAGCGTTAAGTTTGATTTTCATGTATCCGTTATACGTTGATACGTTGGTCCGACGGTGCTCTGATTGGTCATAGCGTTTTCGCGCCACTTTACATCCGTAAATATTTTACTTCAGCCCGTCAACGGACCAGTTCATACGATAACGGACGTTTTGACAAATTTAATCTAATCTTAATAAAAATATAAGTAGAATAGCAAAATCGTTATGGAAACGAAAATATAAAACACCAACGTATATCCGATAAACGGAGGCATGAAATTGCAATAAATTTAAAAACTGCGTTATTTTCTAACCAATCGAAGTCTTTAAATTCTACCAATAAAATTAATATCGTATCAACGTATCGTCGGACAACGGATGCATGAAAATCAAGCTTTAGGCTGTCATGTTACATGTAATGAAAACCAGTTGCGATCTACTACCATACGCAATGACACCCTAAACCGTAACGCCAACTGTCTGATGGGCATGACGTTCCCTCTCAAAGTTCGCCTTTAAAAAAATACCGAAGATGTCATTTAAAAAATAAAAAGTTGTAGTCATTTCGGGTAAAACAGGAAGTGGCGGAAAACAATTCAATACGCCAATTAATCCTAATTTATGTCATATAGGTACTAACATACCAAATGTTGTTTTTTTATCTGAAAACTAAAAAAGTTATAGAGCCAAAAAGTTATACAGGTACTTTTGAGAAACACTCGACATATTATGTGTTCTCCTTCTTTTGACACTCAGCATATACAGCTTAATCGGTACCAGCAGCATCTTCAGTTGATTTTCATTATCCAAACCGGTGGTCCGAACTGTATTCCGGGAACTTCTGCAGCATATTCTGCAGATAAAAATAAGTAAAAAAGTTCGTACAAATGTATGTCCTAAAATACTTAGTTTCGGAGATACAGGGTGTAGAACTTTAATTTTTATTTCGATTTTTTCCAAATAATTATGAAGTAACGTAAATATTTGGATGAAAATTGGTGTCTGGGACTTTTTTGACTTGAGAAATTTGATTTTGATGTCAATATGCCTCCTATTTAGTATTATTATTAAGTAATAACTTTTCGTCCGTACCTGTAATATTATTATATTATTAATTATATGTATTCAAAACAGTTAAGACACATGTAAGTGGCGCCCCCTACAAATAGGAGGCATATTGACATCAAAATCAAATTTCTCGTGTCAAAAAAAAACCAGACAGCAATTTTCATCCAAACATTGAAGGTCCTTCAGAAATTATTTGAAAAAAATCGAAATAAAAATGAAACTTCTACACCCTGTATCACCGAAACCAAGAATTTTAGGACATACATTTATACGAACTATTTTGCCTATTTTTATCTGCAGAATATACTGTCGAAGTTTCCGGAATACAGTTCGGACCACCCTGTATATTAACTTTAGAGACTAAAAAAACTTTATAACTTACCAGAATTCTGTAAACTATAGTAGTTAAAACCACGATAAAAGATATCAAGTTCAAAATGCTCTTTATAACGAGGAACAAATAATTACTGAAACCAGTATACAATCGAACTTCCTTTAGTGTTTCGAGAAAGTAGTTGTATCTAAAAATATAGAAATAAATCAACAGATAATAGTTTAATTAATGAGTGACAGTTGTTGTCCTGTCATTTCCTTTCTGGAAAATAGATTTTTTAGATACATAAACATTAATAATGATATACTGGGTGCTACAAATTCGAGGTACGAGCATTGGTATCTCGGTAACCGTAATAGATATGAACATGGTTAAATTGGGGCCAAGTGGGATGTTCACCAAGATGCCATATAAAAAGTTTTAAGGATTTCAAGGATAAATTTCAAGGATTGCTGAGTTTTTAGAAAAAAAACGGATTTTTTTGAAAATCAATTTATTTTTTTCCTGTCATTAATTTTTAGAAAATTCAAAAACTAATTGCACATTCTCATAGCCACTTTATGAAGGCAACCTGATAATATTTTTACTTTCAAATTGGCTGATAATTTGTGAGTTACAGAGGCCAACTTAATTTTTTTAAATACTGATCTGCATTTTTTATTTTAGGTTTTGAAAGAACTCGTACTCCCTAAGTACAATGTACTCCCTAAGTACAATGATATGCTACACTTTATATTTTTTTGTTTTGGGTCCCTTAACAACAACAAAACAATTTAATTATTATTTAAAATAATTTCAAGTTCGAATCTGTTTATTTTTAAATTATTTAATCTGATTATATTCATCGGAACAATATTTATCAGCGCTAATTAATATTGAATAAGAAAAATCGAGTCAATTGGAAGATTCAAATAAATAATATTCAGGTCGGCAATTTAAAGATATTATTTTTATTTTTTTCATTGTGAATTTGAAATCTCAATGTTCGATCTAATAATATGTATAATATTAAGCGTAGTTATTATAAATAAATCAACTTCTACAAACTAGTTTCTAATGCTCTACATGTTCGAAAAGGTTAGAAAGAATTACCACCCTCCCTATTGTACAAGTTTATTTTTAGTTCAATTTTATTTATAACTCTTTGAACTTTCTTCTTATACTTCCATGCATTTTGTACTCTTTATTGTAATTATTGAGATGTATTAATTTTACTTTTACAAATGACGTCAAGTAATATATGCCCCCGCCCCTTGGCGACAGATCCAAGAACCTCAGATCCTGGCCGTTATATTGCTCTACCATTTCCAAGCCATCTTCCGGGGAAATGATTTGATTATTTTATTGCATTTGATTTTCCGTATTCAATGTTTTACCCCACGTCATTACTAAGTTTGAAAGCTTATCAATATTGTAGGTTAGGTTAGGTTGCTGGGGTTTGGGATCATATTTGATCCCTCACTCGGAGGCCTTGGACCCATTGCGATACCCCTGTTTATTGTTGTACCAAACCTTCCTCTCATTCTTTCTTTGCGTTAAAGCACTTCTCCAGCTCTTTGCAAAGTTCCCGATGTCGCCGATCGAATTCTGCTGTTTCCTCTAGTCCCTTCAAAAAACCTTGCCCTAAAGTTTTAAAGCGTCGGTATTCCAGTGCCGGACAGTGGCACAGCCGGTGGTCTATGGTTTGGTTTGGTTTCTTTTCTGTCTTCTTCCTCTCCGCATTCTCTGCAGTAGTCTTCGTCGGAAAATTTCCATCTCACGAGGTTCACCCCCGTGGGACAGTTTTCAGTGACGACTCCTACAATTATGCGTACTAGGTCCTTTTTGTGCTCTAGTAGTTGTTTTGTCTTTTTGCTATCTACCATTGGCCATAGTCTTCGAGCTGTAGCGCAGTCCTCACGGTGTTGCCACGTCTCTTGCTGCTTGGCTTTCATGGCAGTTCCTGTAGCCTCCTTTAGTGTGTTGATCGTCACAAGTGTAGTTCTGCCGTGCATAGGCAAAACCTAGTAAGTCACTTACTGTCAAAATTAGGTTTTATTATCATCAGAATCTACTAAATTTTTCCTTTGTGGTGATAGGCCGTTTGTATCCTAATTCCAAAAGATAAATATTTTACAGCCTTTGGAAATTTCTAGTAAGCCCAAAAATATTACCTTCTCCAAAGGAAACATGTAGCAAGTCGAGTTTATAACGGAAAAAAGTAGTATATTTATTTTACTATTGTAACCACAAACAAAAGTTTTATAGATTACATTGGAAAAATCTTGCAAAACGACCAACTAGATATTTCCATATTTTTGTATTGAAATTAAATTAGGTACGACGTTAGTGTATCAACTTACTAAGTTCTTCCACTTTAAAGAAAAAAAATGAATATTCTTCTTGCAATGGGTAAACCGTGTTGAGTCTATTTACATACCAACCAGGCCCATACTTTGAGGTAAAAAAAAAACATAATCGATATATTTTAAATAAAACATGTTTATATTGGTAAAAATGGTAACTCAGCAGCTGCAGTATCAATATATTTTAATTAAAACATGTTTATTATTGCAAAATAAAACACTAAATCTCTTATTATAAACTCATTATAAACTATTGAGTTTATAATCATCTGCTGATGATGCTAACATGGTTAGCGAAACGCGCGTCCAGTGTAAAAGTAAAAGTGTTTTGGTGTATTGTGGTGATTTAGTGTTTTATTTTGCTATGTAACACCAGGTTCCAACCCTCAACTGTAATGTTTATTATTAGAAAAATGGTAACTCAGCAGTTTTAACATTACATTTTAACGAACGTCAAATAAATAAGTAACAAAGGAAAATCTACGGAACGACAAAGAAACAGTTTTTGTTGTAACTCTATATAATAAATTTAAAATAAAAATAAGATACTTATCAGAAGTTATTTTATATTGTACTTTATAACTTAAATCTAGGAATACTATTATAGTCAAGTATACCAATATATTTGACTCGTGTTAATTTTGATTCGAAAGAAGATCGGATGAATCTTTTGATGTCGATAAATTTTCCCAAAAAATCCGTTTTACGGCAGGCATTTTTGAAACCAAGTCGGTAAGTATTTTTTGTTTTTTCGCATCATTGACACCTCTATCAAATTGTCTAGTTTGAGGCATTGATAAATCAAACTTTGGCCTTAATAAATCGAAAGACAAAAACTCGCTGTATGTGAGCCTTTTTTATAAAACATGGTTTTCGACACCTTTCTAAACTCCACTATTTTTACATCGCTTAGCTTTCGAAAATGTTCCTCATATTTTTTGCGCCTTTATCGACAACCCTCTTATAACTGACAAAACTCATTGCAGTTTAGTAATAAAGTTTTATTTTGTCGAGAAGTCTGAAGTATTAATTCATTTAAATCGTGAATATCATAAATATTTTATTTTCTTCCATGCTTTACCAATTTGTCCATGTACTGTGTCAGCCTTCATAAAGGTATATCCAGCTTCGAAATATTTTAGTGTTATCGATGTTTGGCCTCATTCGGCATTAACAATGCATGTTAGTGCAGAGTATAACTTCCTGTTTTTATTTTGCGCGCTACAATTATCGCACCAAAATATGTAATGTTTAATGTCAGCAAACGTACGTTGTATCACTGCACAGTAGCTGGAAGCAATATCTTCAGCGTTTCGGCCACAACACCCGCGTGCCACAAAACGCAGATATTCTCAAATGGCTTGTTTAGAGCTGCAAAGGTTTCATTGAAAATAACCAATCTGCTGATAAAAACGGAAGACTTCAAGGACATCTTTGGCAATAACAATATTTTTTGCATGTCTACAGAGTAGAGTTTGTAAGATTGATCAAACTTTCCGTCACGATCGGCTTGATAGGCAATTCTTGCTTCCGTGTATAATTCGTGATGCATGTTATAGGTGATGCAGATAGAACAAGCTGCCGTACCAACTTCATCAGTTTTATTACAATCTTTTTCGTGTTCTTTCCATAAAGTATAAACATCGCAGTCGTCTTGAGTAGGTTGATCAAATCCAATATTCTCGAGATTGAATTCATGCCTGTATTTTTTCATATGAAACAGGTTCATATTTTTCGCAGAAATCTTTCCACATTTGGGTTCCATTTAAGTCTGAGGGTAAATATCTGCGGTTAGAAGCGTGTGAGAGGTTATAATGGGATACTTGCGGTTGAAATGAATTAATATGTTGTTTAAAAATGGCAGAGTCTTTTTAGTTGGTTGGAATTGATCTTCCCCTATTATCAGCGTTAACATTTAATCCTTGAGATATGTTTTGTTGACGCTTTAATGCGGTAATCATACCATCTGTCTTTAGTCCATGAGTATTCAGAAACATAGTTTTGCACACCTGCTTCTCGACACCGTCTTCTTGTACCTTATTGTAGCTGAAAGAACATTGCCTATTGTTGTTGCTTCCCACCTTTCTATATTTAACATCGTTTCGTTTCACATGACCATTCAGATACTGCTTTCTTTCTTCAAAGTTCATTTTCCAAAAGCTTTTACAGGTTTCTTGTCTTCGTTCGTTACTAAAATATTGAAAGCATTTCCTTTTGCAGTTGCATACTAGCAGCAATTTATATTTTTTCAAATTTCTTTCAGTTTTTTCTGTTCTAGCTCTTTTCTTTTTTTGCTCAAGGTTTTCATTACTCTCTCCTTCATTTTCACAAACAATTGGATCATCCCCGTTGTTAAGCCTGATGTCAATATCGCTGCTGTCAGAGTTTGTGCCTGAAACAACAACAAAATAAGGTAAGAATAACGGTTGTATTGATGTTCATCAGAACAACAATAATTTAAATAAATGCATATAACTCAGATCGAGATGTAAATGTCATGGTTTACCTGAGCGGAATATAGAAAACATTTTCTTTCGTTTTCCAGATCTCGAGCTAATTTCTTCTTCAGGATCTGTATCTTCTTCTTCGTAATCTGGATCAATATCTGAGTCATCTAAAGGACTATCAGTACGATAATAATGCTTTTCTACAACGATATTAAAAAAGATTGATTCAATAAAGGAAGTAGGATGCGCACGCTTTATCCTAGGGACCTCTACGTCATCAGCGCCAATGGTTTTTAAATACAGATCGATGACGTAGCGGACCCTAGCTTACGGCGTGCGAATCCTACTATTCTAGCTAATTTTTTTTTTTGAAACTTGCAGTTTAAGTCAGCTAC